GTTTATTCTTGTGTTACAATCTCGGTTGTGACACACTTATTTTATAATACTTAAAGCTAAGTATTTGTAAGGTTGTTCGGTTTATACGTCTCTCCATTTTTGTTTTGTAATAAATTGTTGTTCGGTTATTTCCCCAAATTTTATTTGGTGTCAAAGTATTAGCGTTAAGTCGACCGGAGTGCAACGAAAGTAGAATCAAAGTTTGTTAAAGTTTTGTAGCTTGATCTCTACACATTTCATTTCATTACATAAGTACCACTACAAATTATTAGTTGGTGCATATAACATGCAGTTTTATAAATTACACTATATTAGTAGTAACATGAAGGCAAGGCTTGAGTAGGAGCAACCTTCGTTTCATACTGTACACTTGCATTTATGACCTAATGCCAATCTAAAGCGGATAATTCCCATCAACGTATTTCTTAGTAGACGCTATTAGGTAGATCAGAAATTCATGTTGTATGAGTAAGACATAAGTTTAACTAACTCTAAAAAGTTGCTCTTTCAATTATCCTGATTCTGTAGCCTATGCTTAACTATGCAAATGTTACAGCAATGCCGTTGCAACTAGTAGCAATGAATGGTATCGCTGTAGCACCAGACCAAGTTAAGAGTTTAGTTAAGCTTAACATTACAATTGAGATTTGGGTTCAACCTTTCCAAGTTATTTGGTTTTGGTGGATTAATATCATAAGGTACTACAGAAGCGGTCAGAGAATCTCATCAAAGGCGGTAGAGTATCTGCAATAAATTTGGACTATAGTTATTAAGTTCGTGGTAAACGGTGTTTGTTTAATTGAGAATCGTTTATTAATAAATTTATGAAGGTATTTATACATTTGATAGACTACTTAACTTATGGTTTAGCTAAATGATTATCCATATAAGGTGTAAGATTAGCTTAAAATGATAATTACATAATTAACCATTCTATATATAATACTACTTTACAGTATATATGTAATTGCTCCATATATAACAAGAAAGCGAAAGCGGTCAGAGAATTGCATCAAAGGCTGCAGAGTATCTGCAACAAATTTGGATTCTAGTTTGTATATAATTAATACAATGGACGATATAAGAGTTTAGTTTGAATGTGAGTCAAGAAGAAATTTACTTCAATAGTATTCATATCGAAGATCTACTTATCGGATATAGTACAGTAATATCAATCTAATAATCTATTTCAATTAGGCAATGGTTTCAATTGCGTATAAAAGTGAAATCATTAGGGTTTCATTACCGTTCTTGAAATTAAAATATACTGATAGAGTGCATGCAGCGTTAAAGCTCTGCAAGTCGCTTTCTGCCATTAATTTTATAGTCATTATGGCATAAAAGTACACAACGTCACTAAATCATCATCAAGTATCAAATACAATAGAAAATAGTAAACCAGACCAATTTGCAATGGCGCAAAGCCAAAATGGTAATCTTGATAGGCAGTGCACAATAAATCTCTAGCAAGAAACTTCCAGTCAAGGATTAAGACATTTGACTTCATCTATAAACATGAAAACTACATATCATCGGTTTAGTTTACGATATTTTGCAATAAGAACTACGAATGAGAAAATTAGAGCTGGACGGTCGGTAATGAATTATCCCTTACATACAATGAATTTATTTACCATCTTAATTAACAAGTTTACTATTGTTTAAACAAGAGCCAATTTTCTGCTATCAAATATAAATTAAACTGACAATCGCTTGAGTAAAAAAAGGCGCCCTCAAGCGCTTTACATTAAAGTTACTGAGTATCAATAAGGTGTTAACCCTATTTACAAATAAGATGTTCTAATCGAATCAGATATCAGCTGCCTGATGATAAAACGAATCTAATGGATACTGAATAGGATGCAAAGCCAGTAATTTTATTTGGGGAAGGGGGTGGTGAGCAGCAAGAATGGTGGAATTGTTGAACAGACTATCTATTAGATGATTCACTGTCTTATATTATAATTGAATGACATATCAGTACCGAAATTTTGACTTTATATATTTTCTAGTACGTTTCTTTGCTAAAAGCAGGAAGGTCCATATCAGCGAAGATATGGCATGGTTGCAAATAAACATCGTTATGCTCTAAGGAAAGTATGTAGTAGGTGTATTTGTTGACTATTTATTCAACGATGTAGTTCATCCAGCAAATTATGTAACTTACATATTATGATGGAGGGACGATTATTGGAATAATGTCAGGGTTACCAACCCATTCGACGCTTAAAATGATAGCGATTAATTAAGGCTATTGTCACTTGTTGAAGGACTTACCTATTCATTAAACTAGATGAGAATGCTAACACCCAGCAATATCTATTAAAAGACACAGATTGACAAGTATAAGAGAAATTCAGTTCACAACCCAAAATGTCAACCATAGGTCTAATGGCGATAAAGGGACGATTATATTATTGCAATAATGTTAGGGTTTGCGTTTAAAATGATATCGATTAATTAAGATTGCTTTAACTGGTTGAAAGACTTACCTGCTAAGCACGATGACAATGCTAACACCCAACAATATCGGTCAAAAGCACAGATTAATAAGTATAAGAGAGAAATCTGTAGTATGGAAAAAGAATGTGAGAAAAAAAGATGTTTGATGGTTGATTGCCATTTCACGTGTAGATGGCAGTAGAAGTAGAGGAAGACCAAGTAGAGAGTCGGCGCTGCAAGCTACTGTGCAAAATAGCTTGTCACCCTATAGAAGTAGGGATTGAGTCTACAGCGGACAATATTATAAGCAAGATATCAAACGAGTAACCTGAATTGGACTGAGAAAGTATCCCACAGGCACGCTGCTTACTGCATGTTCGCCATCAACCTTTCTTGGCTCTAACTGAAATCGCTATTTTACCTCGTAAACTGTGGATAGCAAGGTGAGAAACAGAATGAAAGCAGGCAATCTCACCTTTGGGGTCGGGAAAAAGTGGAAGACAACATGGACAACAAGGTACGACGATTTTCTGTTGGCAATATCCCTTCCAGTCATGATCGCCTTTGCTAGCAGAAATGTTGTACCAAATACATTGACTATTTTATCTTCTCATGTTATTTTGACCAAGAACTTGGTGAGATTGTTTCTCTTTCAAGTCCGTCTTTTACTGCAATTTGCAATAAACATTGGACTAACTGCACAATTGCATCGATTGCAATACTATTAATGTTGTTTTGATTTATTTTTGTGTATTGGTTAAACAGACTTATGGGGGTTTGCTTTATGATCGACTGCAATTTCGCAAATCATTTTCTTTATCCCTATTTTTATTTTCTCATCCTATTTTACTTTACCTTCATCTTAATCCTGAATCTTTTTACAAATGTTTTCGTTTTCTCTTCAAATCTCTCTTTCACTACCATTTATAATTGGAATTGAACCAACTCAACCATTGCATTCGCCCCATGGACGAATATGCAATGGTGTTTTGCTTTACTTATTTTTTGGTATTGGTTTTACTGACATTAGGGATATACTTTATCCATCTGTGCAGTACACACATCCATCATCTTGATAGATAGAAGTGATGTTGATTTAGTTTATTAATAGCTGAAGAGATCGCCATCTACAGTATTACAAGACTGACATCAATATTTGCTTTAGACTAGATGGGATGCTTAATGATAGATAGGCTGCAATTATGCAATCCATTTTCTCCATCCCTATGTTGATCTTTATGTTCTCCTCCTATTTTACCAATGTTTTGTTAGGGATGTTTTCGTTTTCTCTTTCAAGTCCCTCTTTGACTGCGATTTGTAATAGACATTAAACTAACTCAGCAATAGCATTAACCATAGACTAGACATAGACTACACTACTTTTAATCATGTTTTGCTTTATTTATTTTTGGGTATTGGTTTTACTGACATTGGGGGTATACTTTATCCATCTGTACACTATACACATCAATCATCTTCATTGATTATGGAAGTAATATTAACTTAGTTTATTGACACTCTCGTTAAATTGCACTGGGTACAAGATACAAGATTAGCTTCACATTTCATGCAAATATCATGTCTTTTTCACTGGGGTTACTAAGCAGTAATCCCATTTACCTCTGATGATGAGTTGAGAGTGTTGAAGATTCCATTGCATGTCCCATATATCGAAGTAAGGGAATGGTAGAGTGATTTGTAGCTGTAGTGTTTGGGGGCTATAAATATTCAAACTAGATAGAAGTTCATATAGGATTAACTGCTTGTCCGACCATAGATTTTCATGGTTGAAGAATTGTGTTTCGTCGAAATTATCGAAGTATTTGATATTGTCTTTGTATCTTTTCATGCGTAAATGTCCATATTGGTTGAGTATCTATAGGCATTGAATTTTATGATTAGCACAACCTACGTTCAACAATGACGACGTCACATTGATTGTATCCAGTTATCGTTGTCTTACTGCTATATGGTTAATTATAATTATACATCGTAGCTTATAATAATACTACCATGCAGACGAGATTGCTTTACTTTGGAAATTCAGGAAGGATCGCAGAATTTATCTCAAGAATTAATTTAGAAAATTAAAAGTTGTTGAGGTACGTATTAACATTAAGCGTTTTTTAAAAATCAAGGTTATAGTCGTAATAATATGTATTAATCATTCAATCTATACTATATTCGAAGATGCCGTATATTCATCATTTCAATTTCAATTCGAATACTACAGTCTATCCAGTACTAAAAATTAATCTTTATTTCATTGACTATACAGAAGGATCATTGCAAGAAAATGAATACTAAATTGGCTCTCATTGCGTGTCTATTTCTCTTTGCATTTGCTTACGCCACTGAAGATGACAATTCTTAGCTCGATAATGACAATAAGGGTGGGCATGGACCAGGCTATTACGATATTGCTGAAAAGGATGTCCATAAACTAGACCCGTACGAAATTGCCGACAAAGATGCATACAACGAACTTGGAGAAATAGATGAGTCTTATGACATGGATAAAGGATTCGATTCAGAATTTGAGAATGGTCTAACCGAGAAAAGCACCGTGAGTATTTAGGATAATTATACATCGTAGCTTTTAATAATACTACCATGCAGACGAGACTGCTATCTATCATTATCAGTATATCTATCATAATTAAGGCATTATTCGGTGACATTCTATATTACATAGGTAGTATGATCTACTATGATACTATATGATTCAAAGTAAATTTATCGTGCATTACTAAAGCAATTTCATCATAAGATACCTTGCAATTTATAATAATAATACATATAGAGGCTACTGTCTATAATTATCAGTAAGCTTATCATAGTTACGGCATAATTCGGTAGTATTTTACATTTCATAGTTAGGATAATCTATAATGATAATTGAGGATTCAAAGTCATTTACTAACACATTTCTACAAGCAATCTTATCCTAAAATCAGCTCCTTCTCACAAGTTAACTTTGCGCTGTTAATTGTGAAAATGAGTAATCTTTTAATGCAAATATTCCATAAAATTTTATATTTTTTAATTAAATATATCTATCTAAATACTAAAACTCTTTTCAACTTGAAATTTACCATAGCAGGCCTTGTGGGGCCGTCGCCGCCGCCGCCGTCGTCGTGCTCCAGCCCCTGCTCCGAAACCTCGACGTCCCATCATCTTCCATTTTTATCGTCGTCGACAGATTTTTGTCTATGGCAAAAAACGATAAAATATTCACTACAGGATTAAACTAGTTTATAAAGTCCATTTTCCTAAAATTAGAGAGTAACCAAGACAGATAAGCATCGTATACTGTCTATATTTTGCTAAGCTAAGAATGTAGAATATTTAAATGCTATTTTATCGCATCTTGTTAACAGTAGTTTAAAACTGAATGATCCGTAAAGTATTACTGCTAGTTCATGGCTAGACGAAGTAGTGTATAATTGCAATATCAAATTAAAATTTTTCAGTAATAATATGTTATTTACGTTATGTACCTGATATTGCCTGTATCTGATCCTAGTCTTCTTTTTTGGTCACAAAATAAACGTTTTATATACGATGAATTCATGGCCTTGAATGTTCGAATCAGTTTTTGATAGTTCTCCAATCAATTTTTCCAAGGAATAATTGTTATACCAACAAGTTCAGCCAAGCTAATTACTAATGATAGTTCCTAGTCTTTATAATATCGAATTACTCTTTAGCCATATGAGCTTAGATAAGCTCTTTGTGATATCTTTCCAAATAGATATGGTGCCGATTCTATAAAGTTACTTTACAAATTGATACGATTCCTAAGAATGTGCTTATACAGTACTCTATATAAATACTGGAATTATTCATAAATAAAGTTTATTCAAGCTAAATTACTAATGATGGTTCCTAGTCTTTATGGATTCGCTTAAATTACTCTTAGTTGTATGTACTTAATAAGGCCTTTTTCGTGTCTTTCCAAATAGACATAGTATCGATTCTATAAGCTACTTCATGAATCGATAAGATTTCTGGAAATGCACTTATATAGTACTGTATATAAATACTGGAAAATATTCACAATTAAGTTTAGTCAAGTTAATGACTAACGATGATTCCTGGTCTTCATGATATCACTTAAATTACTTTTTAGTAGCATGCGTTTAACTAAGATCTTTATAGTATCTTTCCAAATAGATACGGACTTCGGGTTTTGGCCGTAACAGATATAGTATCGATTACATAAGATACTTTGTAAACCTATACGATTCGTAGAAATGCGCTTATGTAGTACTATGCATAAATATCGAAATGATTCACGATAAATGCCTGTGAGAACATCTGTCATTGGCAATTTTTAATAGTTATAATCTCCTGAATACTTAATATTGCTGCAGAATAGTACAAGCTTAATTTCGATCTCTCTATAAATGTTAACTTACGATATCGTTTTTCGTATACAATTTTATTTAATACAAATTTGACGAGATATCATGACTTTTAATTAACAAATGAGCCGAATGGCTAAATATGTGCAGTAATTTTATTTTATACAAGAAAACTGGATGTGTTCATGGATTTACATTGCATAATATTGATTGCTGTGCCATATTTTATACTGCAAGAAAAACAATTTTTTGCTTACTTAGTTTTCTAAAACATCAATTTTGTCTATAATTAGAGGTGCAGTTGCTGTTATAAAATGTTTTAGTATTAAAACTTTATTAGAGTAAGGATCAATTGCCAACTGTCTATTCTCTGATGCTTAAGGAACGAACGATTGATAGCTCTATAAGTTCAAATTTGTTTGTGGTTGTAGCCTTTCATAGCAAGTTAACCATACATTGTGCCTTCTATATTCAAATATTTCAATCGAAAAATTGATTTTACTAATTGTTTCGGCCGTGATTTAAAGCTATCATTTGCAACAGGTTCGACTTTTTGTGTCGCAATTTTCATTTCAGGTTGTGATATTAAGATAGCAGAAATGAACCACTGTGTTTTGGATAAAGGTACTTTGGCTATTGCTTAGAAAGTTAAAGCTTGACAATTAAAAAAAATTAGCAATTGCTTTCTATTATCACTCGTTGGCGTATGAATACCGTAAATTATTATCCGGTTGAAAAATCGAATAAGAAAGTAATATGAAACCATAAGTTACCATATGTGCTGAATATGGAAGATAAAGGAAAACGTTATAAAGTTTAATTCGTAAATCTAATCTCTGTAAGAGTGTATCGAATTCG